TACTTACTTAAACTAACTAACCAACCCGTACCGGTCGTCCGGCCCGGCCGTCGTCGCTTACGTAGTACTACTACCTTCCTACCGTCTCTCTACTACGTCGTCTTCTCTCTCTCTCTCTCTACGCTCTCTGTCGCTCCTCCTCCTCCTCTCTCTCTCTCTCTCTCTCTCTCTCTCTGTCACTTAGTCAAATCGCCATCCTCTCTGAAGCGCCCCCTTCTCTCTCTATGCCGCCTCTTTAACATTTCCCACTCACTGAACCGCTCTCTCTCTCTCTAGAATATCCTTTTCTCTCTACCTCTCTCTCTAACTAAACTGCTCTGTTATCTCTTTCTCAGTTAGGGATTTGACTGATTTTTCCACTTTTCCCCCTTTTGCCTCAACCTCTGTTTCGTGTTTTCCTCCCCCTGTTTCTCTCTCTCTCAGCAACAACAAACACCATCATCCAGATCATCCAATCCCCTCACGCTCGCACCGATCCTGCTCCCTATTTCACCCTAGTTTAGTGTTTCTCTCTCTAGAACTCTCCTCCATCTCGATTCCCAGGGTTTCTCTCTCTAACGCCTCACCCCTTTCTCTCTCTAAAAATGCCCACCGATCTGACCTAATCTGAACCCTCCCACACTGTCTCTCTTTATCAGATCATGCCGTCCTCTCTCCAGGACAGCTTCCCCTCAACCCCAGGCAAAGTGAAGATCGATCGGAGTCACTACAATCTCAGCCGTCAGATCAACCGGTGGCTCTCTTCCTCGGCAACCCTCGTGTTCTGGTCCCTCTTCCTCCTCGCCCTCACCGCCTCCTTCGCCTGCCTCAAAACCTCATTCACCGTCCCGCAGAGCCATGCCCGTGGCGCCACCACCGCTGCCGCCTCATGGGGCGGCCCTGCCTGGGAGAAGCAGCTCCGCCGATCCTGCGAAACCCGTCGCGCCAACGCCCAGGTCGTCTTGGTCACGGGCGCCGCCGGCTTCATCGGAACCCACGTCTCTCTGGCTCTGAAGAAACGAGGCGATGGGGTACTAGGGCTCGACAACTTCAACGATTACTACGACCCGTCGCTGAAGCGTGCTCGCCAGTCGCTGCTGGCGCGGCATGGGATCTTCGTGGCCGAGGGGGACATCAACGATGGTGCGCTCCTCTCCAAGCTCCTTGACTTCGTGCCCTTCACCCATGTCATGCACCTGGCCGCGCAGGCCGGTGTGCGCTACGCCATGGAAAACCCTAATTCCTATGTCCACAGCAACGTGGCGGGGCTGGTGTCCCTGCTGGAGGCTTGCCGCAAGGCCAACCCTCAGCCCGCGATCGTGTGGGCTTCGTCGAGCTCGGTGTACGGGCTCAACAGTGAGGCGCCGTTCTGTGAGGCAGACCGGACGGACCGGCCGGCCAGCCTCTACGCCGCCACCAAGAAGGCCGGAGAGGCCATTACACACGCCTACAACCATATATACGGGCTATCGGTGACCGGGTTGAGGTTCTTCACCGTTTATGGACCTTGGGGGCGGCCCGACATGGCGTATTTCGCCTTTACAAGGAACATTTTGCAGGGTAAAGCCATCACCATTTACAGGTAGCCATCTTCTCTCTGCTAAAAAAGAGGAGAGCGCATTGGCCAGCTTACTCCATGGCCGAAAGGCCTGTATTTTTTTCATTTCAGATTTTAGGTCTCAGGCGTCGTGTGAAAAATATAAAATCAATTCCCTTGGGCAAAAGATTTCAGTAGAATTACAAGATGTATTTTCAATGATACCTTACCAGAAAATATGTTACAAGTACCCAAATATTTTAATATTTGATCCAAACTTATAGGCTAATACAGGCTAAGGGGAGTACAAAAAGTTTCAAATAACTAAATCTCTTGAATGTTTTAGGGACATTTATGTAAATATCTACTATATTTTTAAATTTTGAAAATATTTTCCAATATTATCACTTTTTTTAGGATACAGTTTCTACGAGTCCAGGTAGAAATTAGTCACCTCTTAAAAATTCTATTTTTTGAGATGGATTTTTTGCCTTAATTTTTAAGGAGATGTAATCTCTAACATGGATTATGAATATAAAAAATAAATAAATTTTAAAAATTAGAAATAATAATTTTATTAGGGAAACAATTAGTTCGTTAATTTTACTTGTTTTTAGATGGACCACCTATTTGCATTAGATGGATGCTATATACCTTGGGACCACATATTGTAGAAACGCATATTGTAGAAATGTGGTCCAGACAGCAGGAAAAATTTTTTTTTTTTTTTTTTTTAATATATAGCATTTCAGTTTTATTTTTTTCAATACCTCTAATTTTACTCAATTTTTAGGTGTCACTTTGACCACAATATACTAGTAAAAAAATACAAAAAATTAATTTTAAATAAATAAAATGACCTAAGCACCCTAAAATGTTATATGGTTGTTTGGCAATTTTATTTTTATTTAATTATTTTTATATTTTTACATATGAAGAGTGGAGAGAAGAAGTATAAACACACAGAATTTGAGCTCAATTCGATTTTTAGAAAAAGGATAAAATTGAAATATTAGACATCTTTCTAAAAATGGGACATAAAATATAAATTTTTATTTTTAAAATTACAAAATATCGGCAGTATTAAGGTAAAAAGTGGTTTAATGCGACGCATAACTACATTTGCATCCCTGAGGCATCACCACATCCATCTTAAGCATAGATGTGGAATTGTTTTCTTTCTAAAAAGGGTTATGTCAAAGCAAACGGTTAATAAAATTTCTTTCAAATAATTATCGTTTTTAATTTTTAAAATTTATTTATTTTTTATGATATCTATTTTAGAGATTATAATATCTATTTTAGAGATTATATATACCTAAAATATTTGATGAAAAAATCTATGTCAAATAATAGATCATGGAGAAGGGACACATATCGATGAGTCCTAGGTCTCATAAAAAGTGTCCTTAGATTTGCTGATATCAATGTATTTGGATATTTTTAGGATAATTTTAAAGGGGTGCAGTTTGTATAGGGCTGATGCTCTAAAAAAATCAAATTAGAGCCCACCTTCTAAAAAAATATGGTTTCAATAATGAAAATCTTTGACTGATCTAAAAATATATTTTTATATTTAATTATAAAATTTAAAGTTTCAAAAATAATGTTAGATCGAACGAATCTATAAAAACTTGAAAATTGATGGTCCAAATATACATTACCGAATGCAATATTTGCAAAACTTGAAATCTATTTTTTTTTCTCATGTTCATGCATCTTGATGATGCATCTTGATGTTGAGATAATCAATTCGAGGATATTTAGACATCAAAACAACTTGAAGTGGGTTCTAATCTAATTTGATTGTTTAGAGTAAAACTCTATATAAACTTTTATCCTAAGCTTTTCTCCTAGAAGTATTTGAGTAAGAAAAAAAAAGAAAATGCAAAGTAATAGGACATTTTAAATTAGATTAGAGCAAACCTATATATAAACTTTTCTCCGAAGCTTTAACCCGAGAGGTATTTGAGTAAAAAAAAAAAAAGAAAATGCAAATTAATAGGACATTTTTAAGATATCTCTGCTAAATAAAAATTAAAAAGTTTAATGATTACGTGAATTTTTTGACCTCTTAGATGCAATTCGCCATTTTTATTTTTTGAGTAGATGATGCGCACACACCAATCAGGGCTCAAACACGGACACCTGTGACTTAAACGATTTAATTATGTGAACAAAGGGCACGCGGCGGGGCCGAGCTGGCGCGTGACTTCACCTACGTTGACGATGTGGTGCGCGGGTGCGTTGCTGCGCTCGACACGGCGCAGCCGAGCACGGGCAGCGGTGGGCGCAAGCGCGGTAGCGCGCAGTACAGGATCTACAACTTGGGCAACACGACGCCGTTGAGCGTGCCTCAGCTGGTGAGCATACTGGAGCGGCACTTGCGGGTGAAGGCCACCAGGAACGTTGTGGAGATGCCTGGCAACGGGGATGTGCCCTTCACCCATGCCAATGTGACCATGGCTAGGTTGGAGCTCGGCTACAAGCCCACCACGGATTTGCAGGCGGGGTTAAAGAAGTTTGTGAAGTGGTACCTTAATTACTATGGTTATGAGCATAACGGAAAGGGCAAGATTTGATTGGGAAATATATTTCTCTCTCTCTCTCTCTCTAACACGCACTCTCTCTCTCTTTGAGATCTCTGGACTTGGAGCATTGGTTTATTAGGTGTTTTTTAGGCTAATATAAATTCATTTCTTTGGTAAGTAAAATGGGAAAGTCGAGGAATAAAAATGTTTCAATAAGTTTTGGACATTGTAGCACTTCTTTTGTGTCATACACGAAATCGCTATAGTGTTAGGAGAGAAACAAGTTCCCTCAAGCAAATACGAGAGAAATGATTTTAGGCTACTATAAATTCATTTCAGGGAAAGTAATGGGTCGTCTTATTCTATTAGGGATTTATTTTTCTGTAGCAAATGGGGAAGGTTTCTATGCTTCCTCTACAGCACAGAAGTACTATCTTTCTTTTATCATCCAGATGGTCAATTTTGATCAAGAGAGCCACTCACCATTTGATCTTTGATCCGATGTCTCAAAATATTTTATTTTTTATAAAATTGTATGAATATGAAATTTAGTACGGGCCATCTTCTCATTGGGGCGCATTTCTAAAAAAATATTAAAAATTAATTTTTAATAAAATATAATGACCAAAATATCCCTTGAAACTTTTAGGAATATCTTGGTTATTTTATTTTATTAAAAATATTTTTTTTTATATTTTTTGTTAGTGCAAGTTTAATAGAGGAATAGATGTTTAAAATTTGGTGTCAAAATAGTTTATAGGAAAAAAATTAAAGTAAAATAGTGTAGAGATCACATGGTGATTGGGGCAATTTTAGCTCTCCGTTTAAAATGGATGGTTAGGTAAGGGAGATGATAGAACTTCTATGCAGTAGGAGAAATATAGAAAGCTTGTCCAAAACAAATAAGTCTCTATCTCCCACTCTCTCTCTCACACTCTCTTTGAGATCTCTAGATGTGGAGCATTGGTTTATTCGGGCTAATATTAATTGATTTCTTTGGTAAGTAATGGGCCATCTTACTCTCTTAGTGTTAAAATTCGAACCATTTTCTTTTTGGTGTGGTTCATATAAGGCTGAGGCCCTAATCAATCAAAGTAAAAGGCCACCTTCAAATGGTGCCAAAACATTTTTGTTCCCATATTAAAAATATTTGTGATGGTTTGAAAAATTATTTTCTATCTCTGGTTATAAAATCTAAAGATTGAAAAATAAAAAAAGTTTATATAAGGTTGCAACCTTAAAATGTAGAATAAAAGATGCATCTCAAAAATCTCTTGGAAAAAGTTGTTTTAAAATAAAAACCCTCTAGTTGAACATATCGATATCGAGATTTATGAATATGAAAAAAAGAAAAAGAAAAAAAGATTGTGAATCTCAGAAATAGTGCATCTTGCAACACATTATCTAGATAGCCTATTTTTAAGATTTTCATATGTTTATAGATCTATTTGATTTTAACTAATTTTGAAGATTAAAATTTTATAATTAGAGATGAAAATAGATTTTCAGATAATCTTAAGGATTTTTTACTCCAAAATTATATGTGCTTTATTAGATTGTTTAAAATTGCAACCTTATAGAAACCACACCCTTAAAAAGTAATGTAGATCGAACATATCTATGAAAACTCGAAAATCTTGAAAATTAGCAATCTAGATAATACATTAAACAATGCACTATTTACTCTATAAACAATTGAAAATCTTGAAAATTGACAGTCTTGATAATATATTACACGATGCACTATTTTCAAGATTTAAAATCTTTTTCTTATTTTATGTCACCCTTGTATAATCTTTTTCCTTTCTTAATTTGTGCAGTTATCATTGTCCAGGGTTCAATTAACATAACACATCATTTAGAAGTGGGTCTTATTTTGATTGTTTAGTGTGGATCCCTAATAAAATCCACACCCTTTTCAGTATGACATGTTCGAGATTTTCAAATCCCAATCATTTTGTATCTGTTTTTCTTTTCCCCGTGCCTAGCTTTTCTGGCCTCGACTTTCCCTATCAATCTTAAAATAATGAAGCTGAATGTGACACGACTCTTTAAAACAAAGCGAAGTCCTTTGCTTCTAATGAATGCATTCAATACCTTGTTCCATGTTCCAACGGCATCTCCCTTTGTGGCCCTAATAAAACGGGCAAATTGATTTAAATGTCTCTTTCATAAGGTTTTTGAATTGAAGGTCATCATCACATTTCGACCCTGTTCAGAAGATTCCCTTGCACACAGTGACACTGGTCATATTATTTTCAAGCATATTTTGGTTTAGGGCGAAAACGTTCAGCCAAATTTGAGAAAACCTCTATATTTCTCGTGTTTCACGTGAGATGAACTGGGTCCATTTATAGTGTAAGATGTAGAATCTTTTTGGATATGTAGAGAGGTCTGGGTTATGGGACTTGCGAACAAAGAGACCATCTCATGGTTTCTTTCAGATGGCATAATATTTATTTTATGATTGTCCAGTGATCAGATGTAGTTCGATGTATGAATTCACAGACTTTGTTGACACTGTTAGGCTGCATGAGAGTCAGTTATTAAAGTGCCCCTACCATACTCCAGTATGATGTAATGTCTTCTAATGGATCACCGGAGTGAAAGGTTGGTGTCATCGATCTTGCAATCGGAGTAAAGAAGGGTTTAACACCATCCATGCTAGGTCAGTGAAGTAGTGAATAACGTACTTGCACAATGATTGTTTATACTAAAATTATTTGGTAGAGAACTTGATCCCCGCCTTGTTTTCGGGCGTGAACTTGTCAAAGGATTAGGTAGAGAAAAGGTTCATGTCAAATTATTAACTGGGCAAGACCAGCAGAGCCAGCTTCCAATATGTTTGAATCTGAAGTCCAAAAGAGGTTTAGAACTTGGTTTTAAGGGGAGAGGGGATTTCAATGAAATTTTGGAAATACGAAAGAGAGCAAATAATAGAAAATAGAAATGAAATAAAGGTGTACCTTAGGATTGGCCTTCAAGCACGACACTCGGAGTCGGTGTCGATTCAGAGTTGATGATTGCATGACTACTCCCGATCCTTCAAGGTTTTTCTGAACGAGGTGGAAACGGATAAGTAGGGTCCAAAAGGTTAGGTTATTTGTGGTTCTTGGTTTGGGGAAGTCGGGCCGAGGTTCTAAGGCCCGAGACCTAGGTTAGGTTTTAGGTATAATCAAGTATGGGGTTAGTGCGACAGAATTTGGGCGTATACGTTAGGTATCCATTCTCCGAAATTGGGGAATTGATCCCATGTTTATAGGAAAACATCCTTATTGATCACTGTTGAAGTTTGGGATCAAAACTAAGTCGTTCAAATTAACCTATATTGACAATTTAGTTAACGAAATTGGCATACTTGTTGCATGATCATTAATTACGAGCCACATAATACGTTGTTTAAGCCACATAATACTTGGGTGTTGGGGTGTAGTTTGTTTTGGAGATTGGTTCAGGTTTTGGGACAGTTGTCTCAAATAATTTTGGTTTTTCCTAGTTTCCTAGATCAGGATCGGGGTGTCTACAGTCACCCCTCTTTGTCGCTTGTATCATACACGTGTGGTGCGAGATGGAGCAGAAAAGAAGTAGACGATTGCGACATATAATTGAGTGGAAAGGCACACGAGTAATGCGTATTAACGTCCATGCTTGGAACCTTGACATTAGTTGACCTATGATGCATATGGTCTCTAGGATCTAGAGGTGAGCTTAGCCCATCGTTTGGGGCGATCACTACGCTCTCCATTTGTTAGCTTAGGTCGTGGTGCCAAAATTTCGAGGAAAGTCGAGTTTATAACAATGAAGATGTGTTAAATGAGAAGGCAGAGAAATTTTGATCGAGTGAGATGTTTTTCTTTTAGGGGTTCATGGATGGTATGGTGTTTTTCCTCACAACATTTCCCTTTCTAAACTCGGGCAGCCTTTTGTGTGCTCTGTTCGTCCTTATTGGGCAGGGGTCCGACTCTTTCATTTTTTTAAATATTTTGGGATGATTTTAAAATCAAGGAGAGTTCTTTAAAAGGAGGTACTAACATTAGGTTATGATTTGAACCAAAGGAATTAAGGTTTAGAAAATCTGAAAATCACAAACAAAAAAGGCTGAGAGTACCTAGATATGGGTGGCAATGGACCAAAATCTGACCCGAGACCAGCCAGGTATACCTAATACAGGTAAAACTTTTTGGGTACGATTCTGAGTATTAGTGGACCCATCCAATACCTAACCCGAGACCCGTTAATACTTATTAGTTATCGTAGTTATATATTTAGGAAGGAGTTGAGCCCACTTCTTTTAACACATTTACCAAGGACTTGACGCATAGACACAACCACATGGGACTTACAACTATTCGCTTTTCTTATATATGTTCAATCAAAGCCTCATGAGCGTTTTTATAGTCCTTATACCCCCTTGGCATAATGCACTTCTTCGATGTGGGATCAATCCCATGCACTTGTTGAAGAGAGATTATGTAATATATGCCTGTGTTTTATAGTCCTGTGGCTCAAAGGCTGGCCAACTAAAGTCAAAAGTTGATTAATCTTCCGTGACTTTTCATCCTGAGCTGCGACCACTCCTCTTCATCGTGAGCTGCCTGCTCATATTTAAAAAGCTAAAACTTAAAAGGGAACTATGGGCCCAACCGTTATTTTAAAAGTGAAAACTTTATTAAGCTACCAGTACATTGCCCAAATGGGAGCATGAGGCATAGAGTTACATGGGATTAATCCCGCATCGAAGAGGGGCATAGACTCGCAGGGGTGTGTGCCCTATAAAGAGGATAAGGTAGTTTATGAACAAATTCATGAAAAAGTCAGGAAGGCTGTAAATTCCCCTTCTTGGATCTTGAGTCCTTTGGATCCTGTAAAACGCCAAAAAGGATAAGGGATTTTATGAACAAATTTGGGTTCTGGATCCTTTTGGGTATTGGATCCGTTGGATATGGGTATGGGTACGGGTCCATAAGCTATATTTTCAGTCTAGTTCTTCTTGTGGTACTCAACCTGTTGACACCTCTATACATGGATAAAAGTTGTCCCTTTATTGGGTTTTAAGACATTTCAAAAATGCAGTTTAGGCTCATGCGATTAGGAACACCATCTAAGAAGCTTAACGTACACTGCTTTGAGTAGATGTCATTAGGATCCTATTGGGATAATAGACTACTGGATTTGGTCTTGTTGGGAAAGCAAATTACTGGATTTGGGTCGAGCGGGCAGTAATTC